AATACAGAAACTGATTCTAACCTTCCTGAAAGTTTAGGGGTGGTCAAAACTCAGCTTTTCTTTTCATCTGTAAAAGAGATGTTAGCGCTAGGAAGGCGCAAGCGCTAATCATCCAAACTGCCTGTGACCTGAATGGACAGCAGTACTTTAGGGTTGCCATACAGGTCACGTTCCTGGTGATAAAGAGCCCTGAACCTCAGAACATGCCAGTTTTCTGTTACTTGAAATCAGTAGTGTAGGCAACGCCATGTCACCTCCTATGGCTATGATGGCTCAACAGGCTGTGGCTTCAGTTAGAAAGAGGTTTTAGCCCACATCTCAGTTTCCTTGCTAGAATGCTTGCACTTCTGTTTTCTGGGCAGTGCCGCAGCTTCTGCCTGGCTCCCTAAATGTGTGAGACTGAGGAGTTTGAAATGCCTGCAGTGCTGCCCTTAGCGCACCCATGGCAATGGGAGAAGAGAGCTAACACTCCCTGTAAATCTTCACCTCCTTTAACTTGGGATTAGCCCTTCCAGTTGAACTAGAAATGAATTAATAATGGGAGCTTGTGTACTTTAAAAACCGCTTTTAAAACTAATCTTTGTTTTGGATTTTATTTCAAGAGTGATCAGGAACTAGCTTGCACATTTGGAAGTCTTTACATGAAGATTTGAGAAGTGTTTTGCAGAACCATTTTGTAATCTCCTTGAATTCTTTTCCTTCTGGGTATAAAAAATGCAGTCACTTAATCAGGGAGTAAAAGAATACAGCAGACTATTATGCAACACAGATAGCAAGTATATAAATAGATGATTAGAGTAAATATTATGGGAATCATCTATAAATTCAGATAGGCGTAATTGCGTAAAGCCTATCCATGAACCAATGAATACTACCCATGAATAATCAAGATATCTGTAAAAGTAAATGCGTGTTTATTTCAAGTAAGTAGAAAGATCTAAATATGTTTATTTGTTTCTTTTTGTCATTACAGATATTCTTACCACCACTAATCAGATTTTACCAGATTATTATACCTGAAATTTTTAATGACTCCCTGATAAGCTGAAAAGAGCAAAAATCAGGGCAAAGTTCAATCCATTTCTACCATTGTTCATGAATTGAAAGTGATTTATCTTTCCAAAGTAGCTGTTAAATTCCATTCCTCACCTGGTCAGGCATCTGCCTCCAGCTCTGAGCAATACCTGGCGCTTCAGAGCAAAAGTTTTAATGCTGATGTTTCAAACTGAAAAAAATGCCACAGGGTCCCCTAGTCAGGTTTTGCCATGCTGTGCAGGAGAAATGAAAGCAAGTAATTCCTCTCTGATTCCAGCATGCAGTCGTTTCACACTTGCATTCAGAACACAGGACACCCATAACCCTGCCTTTAGCTCACACAGCTGCAGGTGAACCAGAGGGCCAGTGAGAAAACTCAGGCTTTTTTTGAAAGCACTCTTTCTAAACACTGCAGCCTGAATTTCTGCTGGAATAGTATCACCTGAATACAAATAACATAGCCTGAATATTTCAATAAACTTTGATACTGAGAAAAAATTCGGTGCTCTACTGTCACTGAGATGTAATATATGACATTTAAGTGGCTCTACAGTGTCACAGCTGACTTGACTTAGTCATGTAAGTGTTATTGTGTGAATCAGACTACAGGGGAATTCAGTGTGTGAATTCAGTCTTCACCGCTTTCACAGTGTTGTCATTCTGGGCCTAATAGATGAAGGCTTAGCCACTGATGGTAGTACGTTCTGAATCATGACTTTTGTAACTGAAGTAGTTCAAGTACAAGCTCGGTGGTCTTGTAATTCACAAGGTAAATGCTTTATTACTGATGTATTCCCCTCCTACTAGGTGAATTCAAGCAGCAGCCTCATTGAAAATCTCATTCCTGGTGCCCAGTACCAGGTTGTGGTTTACTTGCGGAAAGGACCATTGGTTGGACCTCCTTCTGATCCTGTTACGTTTTCCATTGGTAACCCCTGCATCTACTATTTGAATTGCCTTTTTTTTTTTTGTTTAATAGCATTTAAGTTACAGCCTAGAAGCCATTAAGGAGTGCAGACAGAATTATCATGTTGGTTATTTCAAATGTAATGAACGTTTACAGAGACTATTTTCTTGCGTTGTCTAGCCCGCTACTGAGGTGGGGGAGAGCATGAATACTCCTTCAGTGGAAGATGGATATTTCCTGTTTTGATGTTAGGTTTTTAACTAACATAACTAAGGATGAAGTGTGACTGGGACTCACATGCACAGGGGACCTGTGGAAGGACCTGTCTCCATCTCTGGACACCTAAATATATCCTAGTCTCTAGCTATGCTCATGGTCTATATTGCTTAGAGTGGGAGTCACCTCACTTAGGTGGAGCCAGCCTGAGTTGCAGGTGGTCTGTGGTCAATGGCACCTCCGCTAGACCGTTCATTCCCCTGTCTCATGAAATGTATAGGACTGCTGTTAGGATATTTGTTGCAAATGTGCTTTTTGAGGGATGTATGTGATATGGCCCAGTCTGAAGGTCACCGTGCTAAGAGTGAGAAGAGTTGGCTTGTCTTCTGTGGTACCACGCGACCATGACCAGCTAGCTTTCTTCAGTTGTGTATGTGTACATTTTCTTCAGCTTAAAAATGGATCTCCATGTTCTCTGCTTTGAGGTCTGGAGATGAAAAGAACCCTCTAAGAATGTGATCCACTTTCTCAAGAATGTGGTTTTATGACCCAGAGACAGAGGTTTTCCCCAGGTGCCTATAGTTCAAGATTGCATGAAGCTTCTAAATAAAGAGGCACTTAGAGTAGAATTTGGTATCTTTTCATTTCAGTGTCATCTATTTTGTTAAAATTATCACTTTAATAAAATATAATGGGAAGAGAAAGCGATTCAGTGTATAGAATTACATTTTTTTAAAGAAATACTTAACCCAGCGTCTTCTTTTGACAGTCTGCTTTGTCAGAGAGCAGGTGGCTGAAAGTTAGAGATCTTTATTATTTTTCACTCTACTTCCTCTCTGTGATGTAGGGAAGAAAGGGAAACAGAAAAAGACAAAGTTAACCTTTTAAGAGTTCAATGCTATAAATTACTGCAGAATGTGGACTAGTGAATACGGTGAGAAACTTTTCATTCTAGGTAATCTCCTCATATGCTTTCATAAGCTGGGCCCAAATAAGAATTTGAAAAGAGAGTGTGATATATTTCAGTAAAGAAAAAATGGTAAATGAATAGACATTATATATATACTTTATTATTAAAATATATACCACTGGATAGTTTTAAAAAGTGTTTTTGAGGTGTTTTCTCACTGTAGTTACTTCAGAAATTCTCAGATTTCCATTTTCATTTGAGAAAGTAAAATCATATGTTCCTGAAGTAAGTAAATTTTCTCATTTCTCTACTTTTATGTAGACTCCCAGCCATAAAAATCAATTCTAAACAAAATGTCATATTATTTTTTATTATAAAATGGATGTTTTATGGAATAAAACAGCAGTTATATGAAAATGAGCTTTCATTTCATTACAGGATATTGAACTTGATATAAGAGTAGTAAATACTGCACAACAAACAGTTCTGTGAAATTATTGGGTGTGTCTAATGATGAATGAAGCTGAAATAAAGAAAAATTACACTTTAAAAAGATTACAGTTCTCCCTGTTTTTACCCTAAAGCTCATTTTCACTGGGTAGATATTAATGCCTTAGAGAAAGGTCAGAGAAGACGAGGTAAATAGGGAAGGATTTATGAAGGGAAAGGCAATCATCTGTGTTAACATGGGCTGAAGTAATCTGGGTGTTGTTCTTGGCTCTAAACCTGTGTGCAGTAGTTTGAGTTCTGCAACCCTTGCAGATGTTAACTGAGTACGTATTTAAGTAGCCTCACTGAATTATTCTTCTCACCAAAGCTGAGAGGAATAATTGCTTTCCAGACAAGTAAAGGTTGCAGAATTTGACCCTTCACTGACATTTTTCAAATCACTTGACTTCTCACTTTCTCGGTTTTCTCATCTGTGAGACGAGTATAGCGATACATAACAGCACCCTTAGATTCCCCAGGGAAGGAGGGGCAGGCATTAAAAGCATTCGTTTTTGTGACATTTGTCTTCAGAAGTGTTGTAACTTTTGATGCTTTTGTTTTTGAGCACGCGACTTGAAATAGCTCCTAAACAGCCTAATTTTCAAAGTAGAATGGAACACTCCATTTATGGAAAATAAATCCCTTCATTTTATCTCGAGCAAAGTAGCCAACACCAAATGGTGTTTAGTCATTTCTGAAAAGTTAGTCTTTAAACTGGAGAACAAATGCTGAAAAATTGTTACACTGTTGCTTGTGACAAGGAGGTAGGACAGGAATTAAAGAGTCAGGAACAAACCCAAATTAGATTGAATTTGGTTAATGAAAGGTGTAGCATAGTCATTTGGTTTTAAAAAAATTGTAATTGATTTAAAAAAAAAAAAAAAAGTTAACCGTAGTTTCTGCTTTATAGTGCCCACTGGAATAAAGGATTTGACGCTTTACCCTTTGGGACCCACTGCTGTGGTTTTGAGCTGGAACAGACCTTTTCTTGGGGTGTTCAGGAAATATGTTGTGGAAATGTTTTACTTCAACCCATCAACGATGACCTCTGAGTGGACAACCTACTATGAAATAGCAGCAACCATCTCCTTAACTGCCTCAGTGGTACAGTGACCATTACTGACTATTACTTTCCTGTGTGTGTGTAGCTCTGGCACCTGTGATGTTTCTTTGTCCAGCTTTTTCCCCTTATGTATATATATATGCATTTAAACCCTGAACGTTTTTCCAAGCAAAATAGAGAAAACGACCAGGATGCTAGAGGCGTTTTTTCTTCTCAGGTGAGGGAATGGCAGCGGAACCATGGTGTAAAGCTCACGGGTGTAACAGCTTTTAAGCAGAACTGTAAGACAGGAGATGGGCCTCCTTTTTGTTGACAAACGAAGTATTCAGCAAGTCCTGAGGCAGCTTCAGTTTCTGGGTGTGTCGTCAAAGCTTTAACCAACGCCAGCATCTCCTTGGGGGAGGAGTCCAAAGCCTTATCTGCATAATGGATATTGATAATATGGATTTGGGCTTGTAGGCTAGTCTTGGAGTAAGCCATCTGGAATGCTGAACTGTAGCGGTGTTCTTGCTAAAATAGCCTTTGTACTTTGGAAGCTGCAAAGACTTATGCCAGGATTTCACTTAGGCTGAGATCGTTCTCTGAAAGAAAACATGCACCCAGACACATCTTTGCAGCAGTGGACATTCAGCAGAAGTGAATTTTTCCCTTTCTTTTTCTGATCTTTCCAGAGAAGGGGAATAGATTCTATTCAGACTTCGCCCTTGCACAAAACCATGAGCAAATTTAGCTGAAATTAGTCATTCAGAAAGTTATGAGTATGCAAAAAGAATAGCAATAACTTTTGCTGCTTGTGAAAGCTGTAGTGATTTATGGTAATTCATTTGCATAATACCATTTGTGTAGTCATTTTAGCTACAGAGGCTTAGCTATAATTGGGTACGAGATTGTAAATTTAGCACATAAATCTCCAAGGAAATTAAAAACAAAAATAACTTACCAAATGAGTAATTAATATATTGTAATCGTGACTCAGCACAATTAGATTAATACCTGAGTGATCCAAGTTGTATTAGAAATACTACCATCTTCAGGAGTTAATGTGGTTCATTAGAAAATGAGATCATTATTGTTGCAAATCCTGCCCAAGGAAACCAAGGGAAGTTAGAACTCCTTTGTCTGAATTTCAGTCTCAAATGCAACAGTACTATATTGCAGCTAAAGTGATTATTTCTTGAAAAAATAATTTTAAAGATTAAGTCTGAATTAGAAATGGAGTTTTTTCTTGTTTCTCTGTTACGGCATTTAGCAAACTAGTATGTTCTGGTGAACTTCTCTTTGGGTTCCCTAGCAGTACTCCAGTTAGGTTGTGTCAAAATGCCACTGGGTCCCACCGATTTCCCGGTAATCAGTAAATCATTTGGCCTCTCTGTGTGATATACTCTGGAGCAACAGTATCAAGCTCAGAGAGGAGGCAGGAGAACCAAAAAACAAACGTACTGACTTTAATCAGAAATTATTTCCTGGAGTTTAGCAGTTGGCCAGAAGTCTTGGATCTGGATTGCCCCCTCGCTCTGTTTAGTAGCTTAGTTCATTCTGTGTTTTGCAGCGTATTTTAAAACAGTCAAATCAACATTGGTATTGTCAAAAAAATGTCCAAGGGGCATGGCAGAAGAACTCTAGGCAGTGTCAGTGTTTTCTAAAGCCATAAAGAGAATATTTTACAAGCCCTATGTCTGGGTTGCCTTGTAGCATCTGAAAAAAGACCACTGCAATCAGCAAAGCTCTTTGAAAACGGCATTTTCTAGTTTCTTATAAATGTTCATTATTTCCAATTGCCTTTTAATTTTAATTATAAAAATATCATTAGGATTTTCATTTAAATATGAAATTAAATATTTGAAATGTTTTGTGCTATAATTGAAAGTGTTTGTTTTCTAACTTAAATATTATAAATGACATTGCAATACAACATATATTGTATTTTATGCTTCATTTATATCTCATTTATATTTATATATATAATTTATATCTCATTTAAAATTCATATTTCATTCATATGTCATTCATAATAAATGATAATACAATATGAAATACACTTTGAAAATGGAAAAAAAGTTTTTTTGAAGTGATGATATCTGAGTGAGAAAAAAATTGTTTCTAATATATCCTTTAAATACATTTAATTAAAAAAGAAAAGCCCACTCCTGTTAGATATATTGCTTCTGTCAAATCTGATTTTTTTTTTTTTGACAGAAAAGTGTTCCGTAGGAATGGTTCTGACTGCCGTGGAAATCACTGAAAGGTTCCAATGTATAGGGAACTGGACCACGTGTATGTGATAAGCAGCAGAGCTGTCACAACCATGTTTGGTCTCTCTGCACAGATTTTTGAATAAATTCAAACCTCAGATTGCACGAGTTCACTGGACTCAATAGCAAATCCACTTGTGTGATGCTTAAAAGGGCCACACGATCATCACTTCCTGAAAATACAGTGTTCATGGGAGTCTGGCTTGTGTTAGGCAAGACAGGGGTGCAGGTTAATACAGCTTTGCTCATGCATTGTCTAGCTGTCTTCTCAGGCAGAGAGAAGCATGAAGAGTGACCTTTCTTTTCAACATCTGCCTGCACAATTTAGTCCTATTTCTCTCTTACGCGTGTAGAGCTTACAACCCTCCCAAATTCAAGGGGGGGGCGAGTGCACTACTGGAGTACAGAGGGGGAGCTCAGTAAAGTTGTGCCTATGCGCGAGGTGTATAAATACTGTCATATTTTATGTGTTCTACCTTACGGTGGTGCGTTTTCTCCTGAGCTGCTCTTTGTCTTTGTCACTTTATAGAGAATAGCCAACCTATTGCCTGCTTGGTATTACAATTTCCGAGTTACCATGGTGACTTGGGGGGACCCAGAGCTGAGCTGCTGTGACAGCTCCACCATCAGCTTCATCACAGGTAAGGTGCCATAGACGGTCCGCGGAGATGCTCCTGGGAGCAAAAGTGCTGAGAAAGCCTGGCTTCACCTGCTGATATTTGCAAGTTAGGCTATTTAACAGCTAGGGCTTTTGGTTTTTTAAGGATAGCTTTGAGAACTGCTTTAGTTCATTATATGTCATTTTCCTATGCAAAGTGTAGTGTTTATTACTCTATTTTCTTCCGCCAGTTGTACTCATGGCTCGAGTGAGGGTCAGTGATCCTGCTCATCTTTTACGGCATTGTATATTTTACCCAGTGAGAAAGACATGACTAAATTAGTAATATGAATTATTAAGTTTGCTAATATTATGAAACATTTTTATGTATTTTTGCAATGTTTCCAAATGCTTTTCTCCCACCTCTTTCCCCCTCACAGTAGTGAGCTTGTAATCCATAGATCAGACGGTGACTTCTGTGGTATCTTAGTTAACATCCAGTTGAATTTAAATATTTTTATAGTATGTTGTGTAGTGCATTATCCTGGTGTTCCACCTTGTATTGTCTGCTGGGTGTTCTTGTTCGTGCACAGTTAGGAAATAAGGGTGCTCCTTCGATCAAAAAGTTGCACTTGCACTGGGTGAAGTGGACTTGAGAAACTCTGCCTGATGCTGGCAAGTCATTCTTAATCCAGATTCTCAGCTACAGTAAATGGATAGAGCTGCATTGATTCTATGGTATACCATTCCTTCTGTGATGGAATGACTGGCTGGGTAGATGAGGGGAGAGCGGTGGATGCTGTCTACCTGGACTTCAGCAAGGCTTTTGACACTGTCTCCCATAACATTCTCCTAGGCAAACTCAGGAAGTGCAGGCTGCATGAGTGGGCGGTGAGGTCGATTGAGAACTGGCTGAATGGCAGGACTCAGAGGATTGTGATCAATGGCATAGAGTCTAGCTGGAGGCCTGTAGCTAG